CAAGAACCGCGAAACCGGTCGTGTTCTTCCAGGGAAATTTTGTCTGGTCAGTTATATACTGCTTATTGTGAAATATATAGACAGTGCTGACAGTCTTAGCTCGAGTGAACTGAGTTCTATTTCACCTGTTCTCAGAGCTTGGCAATTTGCTTGCAAATGTTTTATCATCGACTGGCTGGTGGTAAAAGCTGAAGCTAAACTGACTATTGATAAGGAGTCTTGTTGATTTCTCCCTTCTCTTGCTTGCCATTTATGTTTCTTTAATTTTGATGTTTCTACCATCACTCCTAATTTCATCGAGATTTTTCTTCACAAGATGTTTTTTCTCGTCCCTCACCATACTGAGTCCGAAAAGCCATAATCTTCCAATGGGCTCATCCTTACCTTTATCGTGCTGTGCGTCTATTGAACACAACCTTCCGTCATTAGTGCAACTCACCCTCCTCACAGTCTCATCGCAGTTGTTTTGAAGCTTCAAACAAATGCTTGTTTATCATACAGAGATCGAAAGCAAATATCCTCTTCAATTTTGGTTCGTTTTCAAGGTGGTATCTTGCAACTTATATTCCTCCCATTTGCAAACTTCTTCGGCGCTCTGGTTTTTTCAGCCTCGCGAGAAAGCCGTATCAGGTACTGCTTAAGTGCGCTAAGTGGTTGACAATCAACACGGATTCTAGAGGAATCGGTAGATCACTGCTGATGTTTTCGGCAGGAGTCAAACAGTTTGACTATGCACCCCATTGGTGATTGACGCGTTAACTGTGCTTGTCGTGAATTTAAGCAGCAAGATAACAAGTACAACACAGCTGTTTCAGTATTTTTGTTCGCATCAAGTAATTGGATTGACAGATTCAACTCAGGACCTTGCATGTAGCTTTGCACTGTATGATCAGTACCTTGTAAGTTGAAACTTATATTACAGTGTTGGTCAGATTGATTGCTACACGGTAGACTTCCTATGAATACCTATTTCTTTCTAGTTAATCTGATGACTAAGTCTAATACTCCCGTTTATCTCATTCCCGGATTGTTTCCTTTCAGTTTACACAGGTTCTCGTGTTCCCATCTACGAATTTATTCGCCGAGAGGTTTTTCATCTACCTCCGGCTGCACATTTTACCGTTAAACGCAAACCTCCCGGAGAAGTGAATGAAGAAAACAGTTCAGATACACTAATGACCTCACAAAACGATTATGAAGCAGGCGAACGGGATTGGCGATTTGTCTTACGTGCAGCTTCCGCTGGAATGATTGCCGGTGGAACTGCCCAGTTTTTGGCCAGCCCCACGGATCTAATGAAGGTCAGCCATTCTGCCACTACATTCGACTTTTATTTGCTCAGTTTTGCGATAGCACTCACTTTAGGCCTTGAAACATAAATCAGCCCTTTACTTTGCACCGGTGAGCAAATTGTCTCCCACGTCCATGATGCAATCGGAACTGTCTGCAACCAGCTACTCGTTTTGAAGAGCTAGTATTTCTGAAGCACTCGATGGTTAAGTATAGGCTACATAAGCTGTTATTATTCGCCTATTTTCTAAAAACTGAAATTAAACTAGAGTTGTGTATTACAGGATCTGTAGCGTGTTGAAACTGTTTTATGCTACAACCACTGTACTTTGTCGCCTACATGCACTTTTAATCATACAAACACCACGCTTTCATGCATGAAAATTTCACCCGTAGGACAAAGTCGATGAGATTTTTTTTACTTTGTTTCCATTACTGTCGGTACACTCGAATTCATTGTAGGTTTTGCCTGAGTTTTCACTGCCATGGTACGTATTCGCCATTGACGCTGTTCCGGAACCTACCGGTTCATCTCCATTGTTCTTTGTTTAAATTCACTGAAAGTTTTCCAATAGAAAGCCAAAAAACGCTCAACATTATCCTTAACCCCGTGCTTTTATTTATCAAAAGCTATCCATCGTTAAATCTAGCAGCTTACATTACGCGGACATTTCTGTCACTAAGTTTGCCTTTTGCGTCCATAGAATGGGCTCTCTGGCGATCGGTTTCGGCCGAGGTTCTGAAATCGATCTTGTTCTTTCGTTTGTTCCCTCTTCACTCCCTTTTCCCCTCCTGACTCACCGGACCAGTATCTTATTCCACTTTCCACACTGCATTCAGATGCGTATTTTTGCGTTGTGATATCTTACACGGTTTTTTGATCGGTATCTCTGGAGCCGTTGTTGCCTCAGTTATCATATTCTCTGTCCTTGGCTCTAATTTTTGCCGACATTAACATTTAACATTTTCAACAGTTTTGCCTGCTCGAAGAGCTAGACAATTTGTTTGCAAACGTTTCATCACTAGTCAGGTGAAGTGGCAACGTTCCGCTCTTACCCGTTCTTTTAAGTGTTCTGCACCGACTATTTTTGTCCCTTGTTCTCACTGTTTGACTCGGTTCGCCGTTGAACTGGTGCTAAGGGGTGAGGGTGGGAGTGGGGTTGTTCTTCTGTCTTGATTGCAGTTTAGGTCCGTTCTCAGGTCACAACGGGACCTTTTGTTGCGTTATTTGATCCTTGAGTTTCATTGGCGTGTGCATGTAACCCAGTTCGTTTTACCTATTTATAGGGTTGATTGAAAAGTGCCAAGCCTCTAGAAATTGTGACTTGTTCTGACCGAACTTGGTTAGAAATTCCCATTGATTCGAATTCAAAGGGACGTCCTTCTTGGTCTTCTTGGAGGGAACTCAACTGTAGTGGGTCATGCCTCCTGACTGCCGACTAATGTTCCCAGATTCTTATTGATCGTTTTCTTCCAGTTAGTCCGATATAGAGTTTTGGGCAGTTCTCGCAGCTTATTTTGTGGATAACATTGCTCTTTTCCTTCTCCATTGTTATCTTCTTTGGTTTTGAAAGAAGTCTCTTTAGACAAGTGGTCGGTTTGTTTTTGGCGATTTGAATTCCATGTGAATTGAACAGTCTAGCTATCATTTCCGATACGTCCTTCATGTATGGCAGGCTGGTTCTTGTTCCCGACTCTCCGTCTGTTTTTTGTTTCCTTTGAGTCAGAGATCTTTTACTGAATTTACGAGTGTAGACATTGCGAACAAATACTCTGAAGAGGTGTCTTTCTTCCTGAGTCTGTCAGTGCTGCAGAGCCTTTGGATTCTGCCGAACAGGATCCTAACACGGCATCATTGTGGCTAGGTGGATGATTACTTTTAAAGTTTAGGATGTGAACCATATGCACTACTTTGCGGTAGGCCATTGTCTCCAGGTTTCCGGGTGGCGTTCTAATAATCTAGATGTTTAAAAACGCCAGTTGACTATTGTTCTCCGTCTCTATTGTAAATTTTCTGTGCTACTGTGATGTTGTACAGTCTTTCGAGCTCTAACTTCTTCAATATACCGAATAAGTCGTTCCTTTTCTTGGATGTTGAAAGTTTTGAGCTTATCCAAAAACTGCGTTGAGTTCATCACATTATGCTCTTTTCCTGCGATGCGTGGTTTCAGTCGTCTCCATAATTTTTCTGCTCAAGTTCGTAAGACACGAGCATAGCGTGATAAACTCAAGGCACCACCAAATCCCCCTCCCCCCCGTTTTGTTCCGGGTGTTGCAGAATTTTTGTCTCTCTGACTTCTCGCATCAAACTTTCCCAGCTCTATGGTTTTTGAGTCATAATAAAACGGAGATTTTCACTGCATTTGCTTTTGACCCCACATTTCGTAACCCCATCGGTTACTTTTGTTCTTTATTTCAACAGTGGTAGGGCTCATCGTACTCTTCCATCGCTATACATTCAAGACCTGATTGCTCGTTCTTTATTTCGTCTTTGTTCTCATTCCGGTAAATTTATTCTTTGTTTATACAATTTCGTTTTTCAAAACAAGGTGACCACTCCCATCCTAACCAGTGCTTCTTGCCCTACTTCTCACTTCTGTTATTTCGAACATTATGGACCACCTTGGTTCACATCTCAGACGAGAGGGATTATTGCAGCGTCGGCCATGTGATTTCTGTTTGTTGGCATTCCGTCACTGATCTATCAACAGCATTCTCTCGTGATGGTCAACCTCAATTGTCAGCTGTAGGGGATCATACCTGCTTTCACCAAACATCTTGAAGCGTTCAATCGTGTCTAGCGCCACAGTCTAGTGTCCAACTTTCTATGTTCGGACTTGCTCGGAGACATTTATCATGAATTGTGAATCGTCAACATTGATCGTGACTGTTGGGCTCTCTGCGAATTCTGATCTTGAATTTGTTTTCATTCTGGACCTTACCAATTGTTCCCTTTTTTAATACTTTCAAGATCTCCCTTTTGTCTGTTTCATGTAAACGTCAGTCCTCCATTCTTGCTCTAAACACGGACAATTTCCCCTTCTGTTCCGTGAATCAGTGATTCCTCCTAGGTCTCTCTTTTCACATCAGTTTTAGTTCCTACTTATTTCCCCCCTTGTTCCTCTAACTGCTTCTAAGGTTTTCTTCGTTTTCCGTACCAGACCCTTGATTACATCACACAATATACGTGTGATGTACGACGTATCTCTGGTGTCAACAATCCTGTCGCGGATGTCCTCTCGCGCATCCACCATCTGGGTAACCCTTACCCAGAAACCAATTGGATCCCTGACAGGAGAAGCTGAATGCGCTTCTCTTCTGAAATTGTCATACGACGGATGAGTGCTTCTTTGAGCATGTGCGGGTTATGCGCAGGGATATTCATGTGGGTATTCCTGAAGTTGCTAAGCATATCACGCGGAATTGCGGACAGCAGCTTATGGTATCATGATAGCTGTCCGGTGATGCGGGCCTAAAGAGTTTCGCCGTCAATTGCATAGTTACGCTCAGGAGTAGTCATAGTTAACAGTACTTATATATACGCTTGTGGAAACGATGGTAAAAGTATGATCGAATCGCACCTACGACAAAAAGTACGTTGGAAATACGAAAATGGTACAATCGGATCGCAAATGCCCGTTAAGCCACAATCTAGAAATAAATATGATCTAAAATTATTTATAAATGATATAGATCCGTAAAAAAAGGTACGGGGAATATGTTAGGAATGTAACCTAGAGAAAATAAAATTCTCTGTAAAAAAAATTATCTCCAACGTAAAATAATAAAACGAGGGCTCACCAATTTGTAGGCGCTGGCTTAACGATACCCCGAGATAATACGGCTATAGCGCAAACGAGCGTTCGTACGAAAGCAGAACCAGACAGTTCACGAAACGGAGGACGGTTATAACCTGCACAGCAAAAGGGAGATGCGAGAACGTGAGCAACCGTACGGAAAGTGAAAGCAAACACATGCTGACCAAATAGGTGGTCTTGGTGTGGTGAAACAATGAGATGCAAAAGAAGAAGGGTACATGTAGAATGGGAGTTGGTTGTTCGCTACACAGTTAGTCGATTCATTGTCTGTTTTCACCGTTAGTATTTTATTTCCGCTTGTTTCGCCTTTCGCCGTCAGCCTGGTTGTTATTCCGATTTACCAACTGTCTGTCCCTAGGTGTCTCCCGGTTATCCCTTTTTCTTCGGAATAGTTTAGTTGTGGAATGTCCTCTTTCTCCTATCCACAACCTCCAGATCTGTTAACGCACACGCATAACTGAACTCAATATGATTGTTCCGCATCCATTCATATCGCGGAGTCTGTTATGGTTTGGTTTACACCTTTCACTGTAAATCTCTAAGAATGTCACATAGAAGGATTGCGATGCACAGCAGAATGAGTTTTGGTACCCGCTCATTTCATTTGAGCTGGAACTCTCGAATAGTAGTGTTTATGATAGCCTTAGTGATCGTAAAATCCATCAGATTGAAAACAACACCTAAAGTATCTTAAGTAGTGTATCAGCACTCGCACGAAAATAGTGCAGGGTTACTGGCAAAACTGGAAGTGTCTCATGGAAAAACATTTCTGATGCTTTTCGTTATATCCTTTGCAAAATCTAGGTTCGTCTGCAAACGGAACGCGCGTGGCAATCGGAGGCCAGTTTCGGTGGCACTCCACAAATGGCAAAACCGCCCGTTCGCACTCCATCGTACGTTCTGTTTGTTGTATTCCTTAACCAACTGTGCATTTCTGTGGGTTCACTTATGCAGTCCACCAGCTGTCGTCGTTCGTTTCTATGACCTGCACTTCTCCTGAAAAATATCGTCTTGATTTAAATGAAATGTCAATGCGAAGTTTAGTTTCCTGTCCCTTACTTGTCCGAATGGTCTACTGACTCCATTACTCGGTCGCGTTCGTCCTTCATGTGTAAATCGTGTATAACGTGTGTAACTGCGATTCATCAACCGACTGATTTGATAACCGATCGATAGCTACGGGTTTTCAAGATACCCAGTGATGATTCGCTAAATTTCAGTTTACTGTGTCCTTGCATGTGACCTTTTCCTTGCATATCTAGGTCACGTGATCGGATCTGAGGTGCGAAAGTACACTGTTGTTTTTGTCCAGAATATTGAGGTGAAGGTCAGTCGGGTAATCTAAATCAATCTTCCGAAGTTGGATCACGTGCCGACGGGTGTGTGACCGTATGGATTAACGTAAAAGATGTAGCTATCACCGAACATTATGGATGATCTAGTTTACATAATTTGGCTGAACCCCATCGAATGCATTCAATCATGATTGAGCGGTCGAGTAGAGAGGAACAGACCAATGCAACTCTGTTGTCCAATGACGAGCAACTAGATTGAATTCCGAAATTTGAACTCGCTTCGTTATAGTTGTATTGTTTTATGGGCGGCGGTAGTCGATTGGTGTTCATCAATGTCATTATTTCATCTACCTAAGAAGATCCTAGGCTTGAATTCCTCCATGGGTAGTCCACAATGAAGATGAGCATCTGCACTCGTGGCTGCCTTCAAGCGTGCACTCTTCATGTGCTGCAGACAATTAACGGAGTGTGATCCCAGCGAGAGGTTTAGAGGCAATGTTGATTAAACTAATTCCTCTGTGGCTTTCACAAGAGGATCTATCACGTTTCGTATTAATCGGCAAGGTGACCGATTTCTGTCACGCAGTTGGAACCTGTTTCCTGTCCCATACCGCCAACTCCAACACTAACGCTAAACCTCCATCCTGAAATTCCGATGGGAACAACTTATCTTGGCCGGAGGCCTTAGGGCCTGTAAGACAACTTGTTTCCCAGGAAACCTCCATTTCAGATGGCGGACTGGCATCAATTGGGAGTATTTGCGCAGTTTAGGTGAGGGGGATGGGTCAGATATCGACATGATCCATCGTTTGTTTTGAGTCTGCTCCAGGGTTCGACACTACTTTTATCGATATTTGCATAATTTCCTTGATTTGCTTCCAGTTTTCGTTGAGTCCTCCAGCTGATAGGCGATCTGATAGTTGCGCTTCAAAGGTCGATTTGTAACCATCGCTGATATTGTATTGTGGCTATCCGTTGTCGGTG